TGTATATACTGGAGGCTGATGGGATGATGGATTTGTCGACCCAATCGAAACGCCGCCTGGGTGACGGTGGGGGTGGCGGCGTCCAACTTGGACTGCGTCAAGGGCGTGAGGGACCTGGCTCGAGGGTGACAGGGCGGGATGAGGACCACACACGCATTACCATACAACTGACATAATCGTTCCACGTGTGTGTCCACGCCTTTGGCACCCCCCGTGTAAATGGTCAGAGGCATACTCTGTGAAAAAAATCAAACACAGTGTTTAGGGTGAGACAACGGAGTCCAAGCCCACAGGGTAGGCAGTTCATCATCATCAGCGTACAGCACAAGAGACCCACGTCATGGAGCACCATGATCGCTTACCTTGGATGGGAGAGCACTGTGATGAATGAGATGGCTGTTGTGCCACCTCTGTTTTATAGCGGAAGGCGTATGCTCTGATTGGCGGACCATCCCATCACACCACCCTTACGAGTTTAAGGGCTGAGACAGGATTGGTGGAAAAAGAGATCCTATGAGGATCACGAGACGCAGGGAAATGGGCTATAAAAAGGCAGGCCAGACGTGCACCCAGCGTCATTCCGCCCAGACATGGAACGTCAAGCCACTCAACCTGCCGCGGTGCCCTCAGGACGCAAACGACGCCGAGTGAGTAGTAAGAAACCCAAAGGGAACGAGGAAGCCCAAGCGCTAGCCGTAGAGAGGAAAATGGAACCGACCCCCACCAGTGAACTCGTGTTGGCCCTGAACGCCCTGCCCCGAGCAGACCCACTGACACCCCCTATACCCTCCCCCGTTTGTTCCGTTCACGAGTTGATGGAGGGAACCCTGAAAGACTATGAGGAAGAATGTGTCGAGGAAGGGACGTGTCAGGCCGATCCTGCCAAGGAAGTCGGGGAATGGGAAGAACACGACCTCGACCAGATGGAGACCCAGTTGAATGATCTCCTGTATGAAACGTGCCCCTTTCATCCTCGTCAATACATCCAGTGTGTCAACCCCCAGACCCAATTTGGCCAGTTGAGGTTCAAGTGCCCCCAAGAAGGGTGTCCCGTCTATTTGTTTGAAGAGTCTCGGGAAGTGATGATGGAGAAATTGAAAGAAGACACGCACCCTCAAGTCCGTGCCCGATTGCAACGAGGGGAGCTGAAGTGCAAATGTGGATTGGTCCCCAAGATGAAATTGAGTCGTACCAGCAAGAATTACCAGAAAGTGTTTTTTAGTTGTGGGAGCTTTCTCCCAGGACAAGACCCCTGTGGCTACTTTCAATGGCTCCATGGCCCGCTGTGGTGCCCCCGAGAGCAAGCGCAACCCACGCTGAGACGATGGGTGAGAGACACACCCCCTGAGGTCCAAACCAGAGAGGTTCCACCTATCCCCCTTTGGAAAGGAAAAAGCCCAGAGAGGGACTTTGTGGAGAGGAATAGGCCGTGGTTCAATCAGTTTGGGGAAGCCGCCAAAGCCCAGGAGAGAGACTTTGAGAGCAGGCGCCATTTGCATAAGAACTTTGGTAGCTCGATTTTGTTTTGAAAAAAAAAAAATCATGTAGGTGTGTGAAAAAAAACTATTAAAGACAGAGATGGGGTACGATTGTGTGTCAGTGTCTTGATGTCGTTGCCACGCGCTTACGAAGATCCCCAGGAACCCGGGGCCTTGGGCGGGGTCCAACCCTTTGCCCAAGCCCATAAATTGAAAACCCCGCAAGCGCAACGGATTCTCCAATCGGTGTTGAGTTATACCCTCCACAAACCCCGACGGATGCGGTTTCCCACAGCGCCCACGTTGGTCTTTAACAAAGACGAAAAATGGCAGATGGATTTGGTCGACATGCAAAAACTCAGTCGATGGAATCAAGGGAACAAATATTTGTTGACCGTGATCGACGTCCTGTCCAAGTATGCCTGGGCCGTCCCCATCAAATCCAAAAGCACGTCCGAGATGATCCGAGGGTTGACCCGCATTTACCAGCAAGCCTCGCCGCGGCGACCGCTCCGCGTACAGACGGATCAAGGCAAAGAATTCTACAATCGAGGGGTCCAAGCCTGGTTCAAGAAACAGGGGACGCATCATTTTTCCACGTATGGGGATAGCAAGGCCTCGGTGGTGGAACGATGGCATCGCACGTTGAAACAACGCATGTACCGTTATTTCACCGCCCACAATACGTTACGGTACGTGGACGTGTTACAACCCTTGATCCATACCTACAATCACACCCATCATCGCAGTATTGGGATGGCCCCGCATCAAGTCACCCCCAAAACGGTGCCCGACGTGTGGGACAGACTCTACGGGTCGCGTTTGGACCAAACGACCCCACCGCCCAAATGTCGAGTAGGGGATCGTGTGCGTCTCAACCAGAAACATCGTCCCTTCAAAAAAGGGTATTTGCCCGGTTGGACGGAAGAAGTGTTTGTGGTCACGCACGTCCGTCGTCATCCTGTCGTCACCTATAGACTCAGTGAATGGGACGGCACGCCTATAAAGGGCACGTTTTACGAACCCGATGTTCAAAAAGTGCAAGTGTCGGACGACTCGTTATTTCGGGTCGAAAAAGTGTTGAAACGCCAAGGACGCCAGGTGTTGGTCCGGTGGGAAGGGTGGCCTGCCAAGTACGATAGTTGGATTCCCGCGCAACATGGTCCGCGTCAGAATAACACCTCGAAAAAGAAAAAAGCGGGTGCGGTTTTTGGATGAGGTGCAGGCGGAGTCCAGCCGACCGCGGGCCAGTTACACACCCCCTCCCACCAGCGACGAAGACATTCTGAAATTCATTCACAAGAAAGCCGCCGGCCAACGACGAGCCAACGTCAACAGGATGGCGGGGGTCGCTTTTGGTCAACAAGCCCTCCGTGCTTACACGGCGGCCCAAAAGAAACAACGCAGACGCGCGGGTCGTCATCCACCCATGCGCCCAAAGAAACCCCCCAAACCCAAGACCTGCATGACCCTGATGGAATTGGCACGGGCCTTTCCCAACATTGCCCAGCAAGTGTGTTTTCATCCCAAACAATCGACCTTCAATTCGTTGGTGGGACGCGTTCCTCGCAGCAAACAGAAAGTGGACCAGTGGCTATAAAAGGACCCTACCCCTGTTCAGAGGGGATTACTCTTCATCATGGGCGAGATTAAACGCCTGACGCTCGTCAGTGATGCGACCAACGAGTTTCCCAACAATGCCAACAACAGTTTCAAGGTCCGTCTGCCCGAACGGCTGTCGTTACCGGGCGAGGGGTGGCATGCCTCGTTGATGTCGCTGACGGTCCCGGATCAAGGACAGAGCAATGCCGTCATCGCCACGGATCCTCATACCAAAGTCATCCAATTCAGTGTGACGTACTTGACGCGCAAATATCTGCTAGGGGAGTATCGACGGGTCAGTTTCAAGACCAAGGAGTACTATGTGGAATTGGAAGAGATCATGAGTACCAAACATCCTGTGACCTCCGGGAGCCTGTTTTGGTAACGAGCGATGCAAGAAGTGCACAACACGACCATGGAGAAACTGATGTACGAACAAGATTATGCCAAGACCTTTGATGCGGATGAACGACCCCTGGTCAGTGTGAAAAAGAACTGGATGCCCATGATGACCTGGAAAGACAATGCCCTGATTTTGCATGCAGTGCCTAAAGGAGAGTTGCTAAACGGCAACAAGACCAAAGCCACGAGCGCCTTTTCCTTGGATCTAGGGGTAGCGGAAAAGTTTGGCTTCATCGAACAACCCCAAGGTGTGGTAGGGCATGTGCTGGGCCCCAATCTCCAATTCACTTGCCCCACCGTGACCTATGATGGCCAAACACCCCCCAAGGATCCCTCGAATCGAACGGACTATTATTGGGAAGGAGCGCATTATGCCGGGACGCAACCCTCGGATTTGACCAGGGATGTGATGGATCAAACATTTGTGGTGAAAAATAAGAGGCTTCATCTGTCCAGGATGGTGGAATGGCAGTTTAACAACCTGAATGCCTCGTTTGAAAAATTGGTGGGGACCCGCAAACGCACCGTCATGGTCTATACCGATCTGGTGGAATCCACCGTAGTGGGCAGTGGCAAGTTTCCCCTGTTGCGGGAAGTGCAATTGTTGAGAACCGGCGATGGGGAAAGTACGGCGGAACCCCTACACCACTAATGGATCAAAGTGCGAGGACAACAGATGGATATCTTGGAAGTGGAGATTGCCAGTACCAGTGGACCCCTGACCATCTTACCCCCGGGCAAAACCCTAGTGACCATCAGTCTCAAACAGCTATAAAAAGCCACCCACGCCACGCGAGGGACCAAAAGCACCTCGACGTGAACCGACATGCGCGGAGGCAGTTTAACGCGGTACCGCACGCCCGTGGTCACCCAGCAAGAGGGCAAAGGGTTGGCCGAAGACTTGATCAAACTGGCGGGACCCCCGATCGTGCAGCAAGCCCAAGCGGGACTGCAAGATATCCAACGAGGCAAGAGTGCAGCGGAGACGTGGGCGGATCGAAGTGCGCAACTCACCCGCGGGTTGAAACGCAAAGCCCCCGCCATGGCCTGGACGATGGGCAAACACAAAGCCAAACGCACCGCCCAAAATACCTATAAAAGAGCCACGCAACGTGTACGGGATATCTTTGGACTGTGAAAACAAGCTGGTACGCGTGGGTGGCTTTCTCAAAACGCAAAATCGCATTCGACGGCAACGCGCCCGTGGACGGTTCATCTCGCCGTATCAAGTCGGGGGCACGATCTTTGGCAAGTCCACCATGGCGCGCTATCCCTTGATGCACACCTCCTCCCGCCTGTTGGACCCCCTCTACATGGAGAAGAGGATGACTCGATAATATCGCCAGATGAAAGGGGGCACGATTTTTGGCCTGTCCACTCGCATGCGCATGGGGGATCCCAGGCAGGTGTTGTGGGCCAACCAAGAAAAAGCCAGGAGGCAACGCTGGCTCCAGCAACGAATGAGAAAGGGTATAAAAAGGGGACGACGTTAAAACCACATGGACAGTCCGCACCAGGTCGCTCCAACTGTTTGACGTGCCCGATGTGGATTATCGGTACGAAGCCTCTCGGGAGGTGGAGTTTCAACCCGCCTTGACGGGCATCCAGCCCATCACGTTCTCCATTCCGGGCTCCGACGATTATTACGATCCCAATTCCCTCCGATTCAAAGTCAAAGTACGCCTGACTGATCCCGCGGCTGGGTATAATGGGTTGATCGCCAATCTGGCCAACTCCGATGCCAACAATACCAGGAACACCTACTGCGTGAACAATTTTGGGCACTCCATCTTTCGAGACATCACCCTGAGCATGAATGGGGTCCTCATGACCGAACAGAGCAATACCTACCATTACAGAGCCTACTTAGAAACCCTCCTGAATTACAGCCGAGACGAAGGAGCCACCAAGTTAGCCCCTCAAGGATGGGTCAATCAGCTGAATGTGATTGCAGAAATGGGAGCCACAGGAGCCAATTCTGATGTGCCCACTGGCGCTGATTGGAGTGGCAATGAAGAATTGCGTGCCTTGACCAGCCGGTTGCTGAGTGAACATTGGCACACCTTCATCATCCGCCCCCATTTGCCACCCCTCAGAACAGGCAAATTGTTGGTCCCCAATGTCCAGATGGACTTTGAACTCTTCCTCAACCCCAACACCGTCTACTTGATGGGCACCCCTAACAAAGGGACCTTGAACGCCAAAAAATTTCCAGCCATTCACCAGGAAGACATCAAAGTCACGTTCAAGATGAGAAAAGTGACCTTGAATGCCAGCGTCTATGTCAGACTGCAGAAAGAAAGACAACTGGGCAAACAGATTGCCCGCTACCCAGTGGTGCGGAGCGAAATCCGCACCTTTTCCTTCGATGGACGAACCACCCAGTGGGAACGTGTGTTTGTGGGTCGATTTCCTGACCGAGTGATGGTCGGGTTACTGCATTCCAATACCTTCAATGGAGACCTACAACGATACCCCTTTGCCTTTGAAAAGTTTGGCGTCACTCAAATACGTCAGACCTTGAATGGAGAAGAATACCCTTACAGAACCCTGCAACTGACTGGAGCAGAAGCCTATGAAGATCTACTGGGGTACGATCGATTTCTACAAGCCATGGGTTCATTCCGCCCAGACATGGAACGTCAAGCCACTCAACCTGCCGCGGTGCCCTCAGGACGCAAACGACGCCGAGTGAGTAGTAAGAAACCCAAAGGGAACGAGGAAGCCCAAGCGCTAGCCGTAGAGAGGAAAATGGAACCGACCCCCACCAGTGAACTCGTGTTGGCCCTGAACGCCCTGCCCCGAGCAGACCCACTGACACCCCCTATACCCTCCCCCGTTTGTTCCGTTCACGAGTTGATGGAGGGAACCCTGAAAGACTATGAGGAAGAATGTGTCGAGGAAGGGACGTGTCAGGCCGATCCTGCCAAGGAAGTCGGGGAATGGGAAGAACACGACCTCGACCAGATGGAGACCCAGTTGAATGATCTCCTGTATGAAACGTGCCCCTTTCATCCTCGTCAATACATCCAGTGTGTCAACCCCCAGACCCAATTTGGCCAGTTGAGGTTCAAGTGCCCCCAAGAAGGGTGTCCCGTCTATTTGTTTGAAGAGTCTCGGGAAGTGATGATGGAGAAATTGAAAGAAGACACGCACCCTCAAGTCCGTGCCCGATTGCAACGAGGGGAGCTGAAGTGCAAATGTGGATTGGTCCCCAAGATGAAATTGAGTCGTACCAGCAAGAATTACCAGAAAGTGTTTTTTAGTTGTGGGAGCTTTCTCCCAGGACAAGACCCCTGTGGCTACTTTCAATGGCTCCATGGCCCGCTGTGGTGCCCCCGAGAGCAAGCGCAACCCACGCTGAGACGATGGGTGAGAGACACACCCCCTGAGGTCCAAACCAGAGAGGTTCCACCTATCCCCCTTTGGAAAGGAAAAAGCCCAGAGAGGGACTTTGTGGAGAGGAATAGGCCGTGGTTCAATCAGTTTGGGGAAGCCGCCAAAGCCCAGGAGAGAGACTTTGAGAGCAGGCGCCATTTGCATAAGAACTTTGGTAGCTCGATTTTGTTTTGAAAAAAAAAAAATCATGTAGGTGTGTGAAAAAAAACTATTAAAGACAGAGATGGGGTACGATTGTGTGTCAGTGTCTTGATGTCGTTGCCACGCGCTTACGAAGATCCCCAGGAACCCGGGGCCTTGGGCGGGGTCCAACCCTTTGCCCAAGCCCATAAATTGAAAACCCCGCAAGCGCAACGGATTCTCCAATCGGTGTTGAGTTATACCCTCCACAAACCCCGACGGATGCGGTTTCCCACAGCGCCCACGTTGGTCTTTAACAAAGACGAAAAATGGCAGATGGATTTGGTCGACATGCAAAAACTCAGTCGATGGAATCAAGGGAACAAATATTTGTTGACCGTGATCGACGTCCTGTCCAAGTATGCCTGGGCCGTCCCCATCAAATCCAAAAGCACGTCCGAGATGATCCGAGGGTTGACCCGCATTTACCAGCAAGCCTCGCCGCGGCGACCGCTCCGCGTACAGACGGATCAAGGCAAAGAATTCTACAATCGAGGGGTCCAAGCCTGGTTCAAGAAACAGGGGACGCATCATTTTTCCACGTATGGGGATAGCAAGGCCTCGGTGGTGGAACGATGGCATCGCACGTTGAAACAACGCATGTACCGTTATTTCACCGCCCACAATACGTTACGGTACGTGGACGTGTTACAACCCTTGATCCATACCTACAATCACACCCATCATCGCAGTATTGGGATGGCCCCGCATCAAGTCACCCCCAAAACGGTGCCCGACGTGTGGGACAGACTCTACGGGTCGCGTTTGGACCAAACGACCCCACCGCCCAAATGTCGAGTAGGGGATCGTGTGCGTCTCAACCAGAAACATCGTCCCTTCAAAAAAGGGTATTTGCCCGGTTGGACGGAAGAAGTGTTTGTGGTCACGCACGTCCGTCGTCATCCTGTCGTCACCTATAGACTCAGTGAATGGGACGGCACGCCTATAAAGGGCACGTTTTACGAACCCGATGTTCAAAAAGTGCAAGTGTCGGACGACTCGTTATTTCGGGTCGAAAAAGTGTTGAAACGCCAAGGACGCCAGGTGTTGGTCCGGTGGGAAGGGTGGCCTGCCAAGTACGATAGTTGGATTCCCGCGCAACATGGTCCGCGTCAGAATAACACCTCGAAAAAGAAAAAAGCGGGTGCGGTTTTTGGATGAGGTGCAGGCGGAGTCCAGCCGACCGCGGGCCAGTTACACACCCCCTCCCACCAGCGACGAAGACATTCTGAAATTCATTCACAAGAAAGCCGCCGGCCAACGACGAGCCAACGTCAACAGGATGGCGGGGGTCGCTTTTGGTCAACAAGCCCTCCGTGCTTACACGGCGGCCCAAAAGAAACAACGCAGACGCGCGGGTCGTCATCCACCCATGCGCCCAAAGAAACCCCCCAAACCCAAGACCTGCATGACCCTGATGGAATTGGCACGGGCCTTTCCCAACATTGCCCAGCAAGTGTGTTTTCATCCCAAACAATCGACCTTCAATTCGTTGGTGGGACGCGTTCCTCGCAGCAAACAGAAAGTGGACCAGTGGCTATAAAAGGACCCTACCCCTGTTCAGAGGGGATTACTCTTCATCATGGGCGAGATTAAACGCCTGACGCTCGTCAGTGATGCGACCAACGAGTTTCCCAACAATGCCAACAACAGTTTCAAGGTCCGTCTGCCCGAACGGCTGTCGTTACCGGGCGAGGGGTGGCATGCCTCGTTGATGTCGCTGACGGTCCCGGATCAAGGACAGAGCAATGCCGTCATCGCCACGGATCCTCATACCAAAGTCATCCAATTCAGTGTGACGTACTTGACGCGCAAATATCTGCTAGGGGAGTATCGACGGGTCAGTTTCAAGACCAAGGAGTACTATGTGGAATTGGAAGAGATCATGAGTACCAAACATCCTGTGACCTCCGGGAGCCTGTTTTGGTAACGAGCGATGCAAGAAGTGCACAACACGACCATGGAGAAACTGATGTACGAACAAGATTATGCCAAGACCTTTGATGCGGATGAACGACCCCTGGTCAGTGTGAAAAAGAACTGGATGCCCATGATGACCTGGAAAGACAATGCCCTGATTTTGCATGCAGTGCCTAAAGGAGAGTTGCTAAACGGCAACAAGACCAAAGCCACGAGCGCCTTTTCCTTGGATCTAGGGGTAGCGGAAAAGTTTGGCTTCATCGAACAACCCCAAGGTGTGGTAGGGCATGTGCTGGGCCCCAATCTCCAATTCACTTGCCCCACCGTGACCTATGATGGCCAAACACCCCCCAAGGATCCCTCGAATCGAACGGACTATTATTGGGAAGGAGCGCATTATGCCGGGACGCAACCCTCGGATTTGACCAGGGATGTGATGGATCAAACATTTGTGGTGAAAAATAAGAGGCTTCATCTGTCCAGGATGGTGGAATGGCAGTTTAACAACCTGAATGCCTCGTTTGAAAAATTGGTGGGGACCCGCAAACGCACCGTCATGGTCTATACCGATCTGGTGGAATCCACCGTAGTGGGCAGTGGCAAGTTTCCCCTGTTGCGGGAAGTGCAATTGTTGAGAACCGGCGATGGGGAAAGTACGGCGGAACCCCTACACCACTAATGGATCAAAGTGCGAGGACAACAGATGGATATCTTGGAAGTGGAGATTGCCAGTACCAGTGGACCCCTGACCATCTTACCCCCGGGCAAAACCCTAGTGACCATCAGTCTCAAACAGCTATAAAAAGCCACCCACGCCACGCGAGGGACCAAAAGCACCTCGACGTGAACCGACATGCGCGGAGGCAGTTTAACGCGGTACCGCACGCCCGTGGTCACCCAGCAAGAGGGCAAAGGGTTGGCCGAAGACTTGATCAAACTGGCGGGACCCCCGATCGTGCAGCAAGCCCAAGCGGGACTGCAAGATATCCAACGAGGCAAGAGTGCAGCGGAGACGTGGGCGGATCGAAGTGCGCAACTCACCCGCGGGTTGAAACGCAAAGCCCCCGCCATGGCCTGGACGATGGGCAAACACAAAGCCAAACGCACCGCCCAAAATACCTATAAAAGAGCCACGCAACGTGTACGGGATATCTTTGGACTGTGAAAACAAGCTGGTACGCGTGGGTGGCTTTCTCAAAACGCAAAATCGCATTCGACGGCAACGCGCCCGTGGACGGTTCATCTCGCCGTATCAAGTCGGGGGCACGATCTTTGGCAAGTCCACCATGGCGCGCTATCCCTTGATGCACACCTCCTCCCGCCTGTTGGACCCCCTCTACATGGAGAAGAGGATGACTCGATAATATCGCCAGATGAAAGGGGGCACGATTTTTGGCCTGTCCACTCGCATGCGCATGGGGGATCCCAGGCAGGTGTTGTGGGCCAACCAAGAAAAAGCCAGGAGGCAACGCTGGCTCCAGCAACGAATGAGAAAGGGTATAAAAAGGGGACGACGTTAAAACCACATGGACAGTCCGCACCAGGTCGCTCCAACTGTTTGACGTGCCCGATGTGGATTATCGGTACGAAGCCTCTCGGGAGGTGGAGTTTCAACCCGCCTTGACGGGCATCCAGCCCATCACGTTCTCCATTCCGGGCTCCGACGATTATTACGATCCCAATTCCCTCCGATTCAAAGTCAAAGTACGCCTGACTGATCCCGCGGCTGGGTATAATGGGTTGATCGCCAATCTGGCCAACTCCGATGCCAACAATACCAGGAACACCTACTGCGTGAACAATTTTGGGCACTCCATCTTTCGAGACATCACCCTGAGCATGAATGGGGTCCTCATGACCGAACAGAGCAATACCTACCATTACAGAGCCTACTTAGAAACCCTCCTGAATTACAGCCGAGACGAAGGAGCCACCAAGTTAGCCCCTCAAGGATGGGTCAATCAGCTGAATGTGATTGCAGAAATGGGAGCCACAGGAGCCAATTCTGATGTGCCCACTGGCGCTGATTGGAGTGGCAATGAAGAATTGCGTGCCTTGACCAGCCGGTTGCTGAGTGAACATTGGCACACCTTCATCATCCGCCCCCATTTGCCACC